CCCACTGACTCAAGGGCTCCAACCACACCATGCCCCCATCCCACTTCATGGTCTAAGGGATGATGTGCCTCACCCCTTTATTAAAGATCTGCCCCTGGACAAAAGGGTACTTTTCTAAAAGAAAAGTCAGGTGTGGTTGACAGCTCCCAGAAGGCAGAAGAAGCCTATGTATCAGAATGGGACCAATGCTTTTCTCATGACCATCATAGAATGTAAGGGTAGACAAGAGTGTTCTCCCTCTCTTAGGAGATAGAGGCCACAGATTTCCACCCTGGGATCCTGGCAGCAGAGGGAACTCTTCTACTCCCCTGTGCAGGGACAGACTCTCCCTCACATCATTCTAGTTACTACCTGAGCCTTTCCACCATTTGCCACAGCCTAATGACTAGCCTGAAAGAAAGAGGTGCTCTAGAAAGCACCATAAACAACACAGGGAAATGCTGGTAGCCAGCTCCCCCTGCCATGGGCTCACAGATGTGATCCTGGCTTACAAACTACAAATCAGGTCTGAACTTCCTAGCAGTGCCGGGGGTGGGATTCCCACCTACCACTTGGCTCATTCCACTCACCCAGTTCAATTCAGCCTCCAATGCCACCTGTTTCTCTGGCTTGGTTCTTTATTTTTGGCTGCTTAGGCTGGTCTGCTTTCCACCCCTCCCCCAACCCAGCTGTCTCCTGCCATGGCTGTGGCAAACAGTGAGAACATGCAGAAAGAGCGACCCATCAGGGCCCCTCCACGTACCAAAAATAGCTGCCTTTTACATGGCTGCAGCCAGCATGACTCAACAGCCCTGACAAGACTGACACAACTTTCTTCATCTGGTTATTATTATACAAAGACCTTGTGCCACCTACTGAATTAGCAGAGCCACCAAGCTGTAAGACACAGTGTGTACACATCTGTATGTGACTGCATCTGGGTCACAACAACCCCAGCTCACGTGCTGCTAGAAGCAGGACCAGGGAGAAGTGCCATGTTCCCCCTCCCCGATCTGACACAGCTATTACCTCTCTGGCTTGAATGAAGTCTGGATGCATGGATTTTGGGTGTGCAAGTTCTAGCACCCTCTGGGAAGCCTCACAGGTGAGTGCAGCTGGCGTCACAAGCCACTCTGGGGAATTGCAAGCCCTACAGGGAAACACAATCAGGCAACACGGCTACATCTTGAGGCTGTTTCCAGAGTCAGTCTCTTTGTCCGGTGCAAATGAGCCATCTTCCTGTGGTTACGGGAGAAGTTGTATGCAAGGATTGCGGTGGCAGTGCCATAACAACAAGCCCTGAAGCTGGTCTGCACACCCACCATTTTACACCTGGTGTAAACAAAGTTGCATACACAGGTCCTGTACATTAGTGAGTGGATCCAAGCCTCACCAGGGGATGGCTGCTGGAGGGAGCCATTGCCTAGTGCAAAGCATGGCTGCAGTGTGCAAGGCCAGCCCCACCGCACCTCACCTCACCCAGCAAGGACTAGGAGGGAAGAGCAGTTGGCCCCAGGGTAGTGTAGCCACAGGATGGGGAGGGGATCCCACCTCCCAGCCCCCTGCTGCCAGCTGCCTCCCCACTGGCAAGGAGGAATGCCACTCCAGAGCAAAAGTTCCACCCTGCCCACATGGGGGCAGGGGATTGGCTGCAGCTGGCTTTGTGGGTTCTGAGCTGAGTGGCTAGCATAGGAGTGGGGCTCGAGGGAGGTCACACCTGTTGGCAGAAAGCACATGGTGCTTTTCCTGGAGGGAGCAGGGAAATGCAGCCTGGACCAGGGGCTGGGGTTCACCCCAGGGAGCCGGCTGGGGGCACAGACATAGCCTCTGCCCAAGCTAGGCATCGCTGCAGAGACCTGGGTTCACCTCCCAGCTCAGACCATGCCCAAATACCAGCTGCCTTGGGGAGAGGCTGGGTGGGGCTAGGGGCTGTTTGGGCTCTGAATGGATGAGAGCAGTGAAGGCCAAATATTTGAGTGTCTTGCCACAAATCAGCCTTGCACCCTCCCCGCATGCCCCTCTGATCCCCTTCCTCTGCTGCTTTATTGTCTGCTCCCTCCTCTGTGCTCCTTATGTAATCTCCTGCTGTGCTTTCTGTGCCTGGCCTATCTGCTATTGTGCTACCTGTCTCCTCCCTGATCTGTCACATGCCATACACAGAAGCCACCCATGTCACTTTTGGCACTCATGCAACAGGTTGGCCATCCCTGGACTACAGAGCATTAATCTTAATTGCTGGGTGCTGGAGACCCAGTGCACTATTGTATGATGGGTGTGTATGTTTGACTCCCCTATAGGGGTCCTTGAACAATGCCATGAATTAACTGAGGTGCTGTCTGTGCCTGAATACAATCACTGGCATGAGATCTGAGTGCAACATTTATTCTTGGGGTTAACTCCTGCTTCCCTCAAGGCTCTGGGAGAGAATCCACAGCTATGGGAGGCATACATGAGACTTGGTCTTTGAGCTCCACATACCACACTCAGGCTGCATCACTCCTGTGAAATAAAACTAGCCCGGATGACAGAATACGGAAGCAACGTTATGGACTGCTCTATTTGTTACTGAAGCTGCTAAACCTTCCGTCAGTTCACACACACACATTTCATTTTGTATTCATCCTGGAGTCAACCCTGACTCCAAGATCCCTCTCTGCCTCTGTGCTGCCGAGAGGGTCAGCCCCTAACCTATAACCATAATGCTGGTTCCCTCTCCCCAGGTGCAGCACCCTGCACTTGTCCTTGTTGAACCGCATCCTGGTCAGATTTGCCCACTTCTCTAACCTATCCAGGTCTGAGGGTTGGAAGGGGCCTCAGGAGGTCATCTAGTCCAGCCCCCTGCTCAAAGCAGGACCATCCCCAACTAGATCATCCCCACCAAAGCTTTGGATATCTGGGTCTTAAAAACCTCCAAGGATGGAGAGCCTACAACTTCTCTGGGTAATCCATGAAATCCCATGGGTCTTCAGTGTAATTCAGGCACCTACTTCCTTTGAATCCTGTGAAAATCCCATGTAAAGGTTCACTCAGTGCCCTGCCTGGTGCTGCAAACTTATTGATCCATTGTGTGGCTGGTGAACTGCCATCTGCTTTTGACTGCACACAACCAGTGTAACTTGCACCTGTTTCCTTTTGAAGCCACAGTGCAGATGGTCTTTCTTTTTGTGCCCTGCAGATGGTTTGCAGTTTGGCCTTTCCATCTTTCTGTAGGAAAGACCTGTTAACCTGTCAGTCCTGCACTTTGCAGGGGAAATCCTTCAGAGGCTTCCTTTCAGCACAAGAGGCCAGCTCCAGGGAGAGCCTTTTCAATTAGAACTGCAAGTTCAAACTTGACCCAGCGTTCCATCTACTCTTGCCATTAAATATGTAAGTGCTGATGGGAAATCAGTGTCTCACATATTCATATTTCTTGTTCATTCCAAATAAGTCATGTGTTTTGCACTGAAAGAATTCCTTTATGTGAGGTTCTGCTGTTGGGGAGGGGGTTCTCATCCCAGAGGCATAACGAGCCTGGGGCAGTGCCTGGAGAGGTCCTTCCTCCCCCTTCCCCTGTATCTTCTGCCTCTGGAGGCTTTGGCAGTGGGCAGCATGCTGAAGCAGCAGCCAAAGTTTGCTGCTGCTGAACGGAGCTGTCGCCTCCTTTTTTTTGCTGCAGACAGCTGTCAGGTGGGCAAAGATACTCCTGATTTTGGCAGCAAAAATTGGGGTGAAATTTCCAACCACCAGCAGTGAACTCCACTGCTGCTCCAGAACTACTTTTCCCAGAATGCCCTGTGTTCTGTGACACACTGCTGCACTGACATTGCTTGCTGGAACTAGAAAGTATAAGTGGAACTGGGGACTAGATGGTGAGGCACCCCTCCCCAGTCCATTCTGGCACCCCCACCTCCTTTACCCAGCAGCCAGGACACATGCCCCACTCGCCTATTTATCCTTATGTTATTGGCCCATCCCTTGAATGGGGAGAGCCAAATACAGATTTTCACATTTCACATCCCATCCAGAGTCACATCTGCTTGCATGGTATAACAATGTCAGGAGAGTATCTAATGGATGCTTGGCTTCTTTTAATGTAATTTCGCCACTGGAAAGAAAGAGCAGAGCCTACCCTGTGAGACCTACCAGCTTTTCACAGGCCACCAGCAGGGGTTACACAGACCCCTCTTCAAGAACCAATTTTCTTTTTACTAGTTTTGCCCCTTATTCTTCTGACACTTACTGTTTTAGAGCAATGCTACTGCTGAAAACCCACTTAACCTACTTAGTATGAATGACCTGGAGTTTTACCTTTTCTGCAGGTAAGCCAGCTGATATTTTTTAGGTTCTGCTAATTTCAGTATCCGATCAGACGGAAACCCAAGATTCATTAGGGGTGGGCGCTCCCATATCTCTGATTCCCGACCACAGCTGTACAGGAAAAGGGGCCTGTGAGAATACCATGAAAGCATTAATGATGAGATGCAGCATGAGTACAATCGTCACTGAAATGGTGACAACAGGCATGTATGGCCAGACACCTTCCCCCCCACCCACCCCCACCCACACACGCACACACACACAAAGAGAACATTTGTGAACACAAACTGGGTTAACTATACAACCAGTGGGTATTTGCACATGGTGATTACCTGACCTGAGTCCACAGCACTTACTGGCCTATATAAAGAGCTTTGTGAACACAGTGTACGTATGTGTATCTAAATAAGCAGAACACTGCATCTAGCATAGAAAATGCCATCCTTTCCCTGGACAATTTGAAGAAACTGTTTTGCAACACAAACCTTATGGTACCTATGTTGTTTATTTGTGGAGCCTGCTAATTAGAATCCTCTTGGTTATAATTCTTCAATTACGTTTGGCACTACAATACTGCCTTTCATTTTAGGATCTCAAAAGCACTTTACATACATGAATTGAGGCAGGACACCCTTGGCAGCTGAGTAAATGCAAGAATCCCAACTCACACTACAGGTGGGGAAAATTAAATGTAGAAAGAGTTGCCAGAGTCATGTAATATTTACTGACAGAGATGTAATTAGACAGATTCCCAAAGCCTTTCTCCATCCCCTCCAGTGATTCACACTCCACACACTCTACCCATTTAGGTTTATTTTACATAAACAGCTTGTTTTCTGTATGCAAATGAACACTTTGTATTAATTAGACAAGGAAGTCTGCCACTGGAATGTACTGTCATGACTTCCCCAATGCTTATTCTGGTTACTGAGCATCATATGTATTTGCTTCCATTCTGGTAGCTAATATGGCTCCTTAGGGGCTCTTAGCTCTTCTCCAAAACCATCTTCAATAGCAAGCCTTTTAAAGCCTGAGCTGACATTTCAATACATTTAGAAGTAACCAGCAACAGACCATTACCACCTCAAAATTTGTACTTCGCCCCGGGAAACTAAAAAGCCTAGGGAACCCTGACCCTTGACAAAGGAGATGAATTCAATGAGTAGCCTTGAATGATAAGCAAAACATTGCTCATCCCTCAGGGACTTTCTTGGAGCTGCTATAAGACATGGACTTGCATACTTGTACTTACAGAGGGTGGCACCACCCTCCTCCCGCAAGCATAAACTACATTACTGAATGTCCAGGTTGTCCCTTGGCCTTGGCCATTTTCCAGTGGAAGCTATGAAGGAAGAAGCACCTGTTGTTTTTTCTGATCAGCACTGAAGAGTTATTGCCACTCGTTTCCTCCATAATAATACTTGCAAATCGTACTCATTCATCTACACCTCAAAGTGGGCATTTTAGGTGTGCCTAAAGTTTTGGATCAAACCTCCATTTGAGGAAGATGCAAGTAACACTGCCTCATGTTAATGCATGTAAGGACCTGTCTTCCAGCTGCAGACCAGCAATGTCAGTTTGGTTGTGGTAAGCTTATTTTTTCCTCCCAACTACATTCTTTGGACCATCATGTGCTCTCATTGTCATGCCCTCATTTGGATAACTGGCTTCCATCCAGATCATCACTCATGATATAGTATGCCAATGAAAGGCTCTGCAGTCAACCATTTACTCATATTGCATTACAGTCTCCTTGCATGTGAAAGTAGGCTGTGTGTCGAACCTAGGGGTAGTTCGCACGGGGCTGATTATTTGTTGAAGGATGTCTATCTAGCTCCTTGTCTTCTCCTCAGAAGCCAAGAGGAGTCCCAGGATCTTTTTGCTCAACAGCTTTCTCTCTTTCTCAGTGAACAAGAATGAGCCCACCAGACAGATGTTTTATAAACCCAGACCTGTGAGCAGACCTGGACACAGGCATGGGTGAACTGGGCAGCTGCCCAGGGCCCAGACAGAAAGGGGGCCTGAAAATGGTAATTTTTTTTCCATTATCCAATTATTATTATCATTATCTCTGGCAAAGGGGGGCCTGATACTAAAAGTTTGCCTGGGCCCACCAGGAGTCTAGGTACAGTGCTGCCTGTGAGGGTCCTTACACTCTGCTCATGCCTAGAAAAACTGTCAGGAAAACATTCCCCAAAAAATTCATTGTTTTGTTAGTTTTGTTGTCATTGTTGTTAAACTTCAAAATGCAGACAGTATTTTTCACTGGAATTTCAGAACTGTGAGTGTGACAGTACCCCTGCTGGGACTTAAAGACAGAGGATCCTGGCTAGAAGGGCTTGCTCCGCCACTCAGGGACAGACCGATCATCATATCTGGGGTCAGGATGGAATTTTACCCCATGGTCAGATTGGTATGGACTGTGGCTTAGGAGCCAGGGGGAGTTGCCTTCCTCTGTAGTGGGTACAGGGCCCTCTACCTCAGATCTTTTGAGCATATATTAACAACATTTTATAAAGGCAGGACACTGGCTGCTGTGGTTCCCCTGCTTTACCTGTGGCAGGTTGGGGTGTTGTGTTGTGTCAAGGTCAGTGGTAGTTTTATGAAGAGTTTAGATTGTGAGTTGTATAGAATGATTTAGATGGAAGGATCCTGCCTCAGGCAGGGGGTTGGACTAGAGTAGATATCCTCTGGAGGTACCTTCCAGCCCTACTTCTTTATAATTTTTATGACTTCTTTGAACTGCAACAATCCTGACCTTCTCTGTGTAGGACAGCCTGCCAGAGCCCTATCCAGACATGGCAAAGGTTTTCTCAAGGCAGACCACCTGGATTCCTGGTTGGAAGAGGCCTGTCAAGACCTCCAGGCTAAGAGAATCTCTTTGCCTTTTGTATACTGCCTTCAAGACCCAGGCAAGACTCCATGGGACAGTGAGGCAGTATCAGGGTTAATGATAATGAACATTCATAGCACACTCTAAGGACACACATGCATACAGATCCAGTGCATTAGGACTATCCTGGTGACTGTTCATCTTTCTCTCCACAAGCAGTTCTCAAACCTCCTCCAGGCAACGTCCTACCTAGGGTAGGGATAATTTTATTTGACCCCCATATACACTAGTACTGCTCTTCCTGTGCCCAGGATTTACAGGGAGCAGGGATTTACCATGCCTCATCTTTCAGTGGATACTGTCCTTGTGCTCACATGGTGAGAGCTAACCTGCGGCATTTTGCTCCTGAACAAAACATGGCTAAATAGCAATCCTACAGAGTTTACTGAGGACACAGTGGCAGTTTACTGGTGATAAGCAGCAGAGGTACCCTGATCTCAGTTAATGCTGGGGTCAGGGAATCTGGGAACTTTCTAAGGTGAGTGACCTCATTCATGACATTAGGACTTTTGCTTGGGATCACAAACCCTCAACTGGGAACTGCTGCTTTGCAAATATATACCTGCACCATAGACCTTTAGCAGCAACGTGCAACAGCAAGCATATAACTAAATGCCTTAGCACCCTGTTCTAATTCTGGGTCCTGGGATCTCTGCCAACTCTGAGGAAGTTTAATTTTAAACACAGACCAGGATGTGTACTCTACAGCCTGCATCCATCTTCAGGCCCACCTAAAATCTTCCATCCACTTTTGGCTGTCTCAGGCTTGGAATCTGATCTGGGCTTGGGCCTGTGCACCATAGACCTAGCTCTGCTCTTTAGTCTAACTCACACGTCATCTGTTTCCACTTCATTTTCTTCAATTAAAGAGGTGACATAATCAGTCAGTTTCCCTCACTGCAGCCTGAGGGTCTTCACTGTAGGCTGTCATCGTAACATGGCTATCCCAGCATGCTGACCAGGATCTCATGTGCTGGGTAGCAGCCCTTCAACCTGGGGTCTCACCCAGAGAGAGGGCTCCACTCTGACAAAGGACAGAGTGCTTAAATGTAGGACTTCCTCCTTCTCACACTTAGCAGTGTGCCCCCAACAAATAAACAGTGGCTTTCATCCTGGGGATCCATATTTTGCCAGTTCAGCTTACAGAAACTTGAGAGAATCTTCACCTTCCTCGGCAGCAAGACATGGTGCTCATCTGCATGGGCTCTCTGGATATGTCACACCAAATCAACTCCTGGCCATTGCAGGGGCCTGGGGCATTGCTGATACCCAAGGCTCTCCTGTTCCCCACTTCTGGCACACAACAGTTCAGTCTCCTGAGGTCTCAAATGTTAAAGGGCCTGGACACAACACCGTAGCAATGGAGTAACTTTCATTGTTCTTGTACTTCATTTTAAGTTACACCAGTCCTGCAGAGAGGACCAGCTCTCCAGGTTAGCTGCAAGCCATAGACACAATAACAGTTCTTCACCACTAGATGGCAGGGGAACCACTAATAGCTAAGGGGTCTACCTTAATCGGGCAGGGGAGGACTTACCTATTTTTGTGGGTTCATTGCAACCTAAAGCTCTCATCCCATGGCCAATTTGTGGCATCCCCGCCCCTCAGTGCTGACTGGTGGAGAGGCCCTGCCCCTTGGTCCTGATTGGCAGAGAAGCCCCAGTGGAGGAGGATCTATGAGGGGGCAGCAGCCATATTGACTGCTGCCCTTTGTGCCACCTGCCAACCAGTGCCATCCCCTCCCAGCATCAGGGATCACTGGCATTTAAGCATTTTATTTTTGTTAAAGTTTTGGTGGGGGGGTTGTTGTTGATTTCACAGATTTTGCAGAGAATCCTAAATTAAGTAGGTCCCTACTAATAGCCTGTTTGCCTATAGCAAGCTGTTAACTTGGGATGGGAGCAGACACATACCTACTCCAGTGTAACTTGCACTGGATTTTCCTGCAGTAACTTGGAGCCTAGGGTAACCACCCAGAGCCATGTATATTACCGATACCACCTGCAGCACTGAGTGCCACACAACACACAGCCTTCTGCTCCAAAGCTACAAATCACTCAAGATAAAGGATCATTTCCATAGCTGTTTGGGTTACGAATTCTTGTGTTCTCCATAATGACTGGTCACTCAAGAGCCAGATATATCACATCCAAACGCTGTGGTGGGCGTAATATGTCCCAGCATGCAGACCCACAGTTATGTGCACGTGCACACATTTGCACTCCTATATATCTGTATATGTTGGATGCTCCTGTTTCCAAGCATAAAGAATGTCACTTTGAAACAATTTAAGCCAAGTGCACATGTTGTGGAGCTGCGCTTGGATGGCAACAAGGAAATGTGCTGCTGTGCTTGGAAACCGTGATCAAATCTGGCAGTAGAAAGCACCCAGTATCAAACCTGGAATTCTAATGAGACAAAGGACTTTTCCAGCAACAACAGCTGCCTGTTTCGTGAGTCACACCTTTCTGGCAGCCCGTCAGCTACAGCTCACTTCAACTCAGTTCTGCTGCTGCCTGCCAGCTTTCAGACTGAGCTTGAAAATAACATTTAACTACAATTTTTAACTCTCTCAAGATTCCCCTTTTGGCAATCAACCTGTTCCAAGGATTGCAAACAAAAATACGTTCAGTGTGAGACCCAGCTATGAAGCACCAATATTTTCAGATGTGATGAATGAGGACAGATGGTCAACAGTGGGAACCAACATTATGGCTAGAGGCATTATTAATAATAATAGCAGCAATGGATGATAATGCTTTGCATTGCTAATGCACCTTTTCACCCAGCAAACTTGCAGAGACCCTGACATCACAGAACTGCCCTCTCACCAGGCACTCTCCTAAGCTGATCTCAGATGGAAGCTGTTCATTGAGGTTTGTGATTGTAGTGGAAAATTGCAGAAGTCTGTGCCACAGTATGGGTTCATTTTGCACAGCTGCTGTACCTTTATTTGTGTTAAATAACATGTAATGAACCAACCACAAGCTGTATCATAGACCAGGGTTGGTTTTCAAACAGAAGAAAGAGCCGCCTGAATATGACCAACCTGTGCTGGAGCTTTCCATCAAAATTCTTCTTGGGTTTGGCCAGAGCTATAAGTCTTGGAGATGGATGAGTAGCCAAAGCACTCAAGGAAAGGGGCCAGATTGTCTCCTGGTTTCCCCAGTCTAGTCTACTGTTAAAAGCAGGGAACAAAAAAGGGTACAGAACACAAAGTTAGATGGTCTCTAAGCTGGGACTGGCACCTCCTCATTGATGCTCCTCCAAACAGGGAGAGCAACCAAAGAGCAAGATATACTCATGCATCTCACATCACTGACTTATCCTAGGGACTGAAGTCTGAAACCCCATCCCAAAATCTGCCCATGACCAGTCTCAGGGGGGACTCTCTTCTGTCTCCTGGTGTTTATGTATGCTTTTAGCAGATGGGACACAAACATCTGCCCTTTGCCATCTTCCTAACCAACCAAACTGGGCAAGGGAGCTGGGGCTGGCCTGCATAAACAAGAGCTGCAAAATGCATAACCAGCCCAGCAGCTCTCTAACAGCCATTGCTACAGAGCTGGTAAATACTCCTGATCACAGGCAGGGCTAGACAGAGGTTTAGGCACTTGGAGCTAAAGGCGTGGCGTCATTTTAATCTGACCTTGACCACAGCTGCTGCGGTTGGCTCTTAATCTATTCACCACACAGCGGTATAAGGAAAGACAGGCTCTGCTGTCTTCCCCAGTCAGGGGGTGGAGTCAGTTCACCAGTGTGGGAACAACACAGCTGGGTTTTGGAAAAGTATTGGCAAGATAGGAACAGAGCAAAAACCTCTGGACTGGACTGGACTGGACTGTAGGGGTATGATTACCATCACCCAGGAATCTGTTCTGTGCTCTTGGCCAGGGGAGTTTTTCTTTATTATTCTATTAAAGGTGCAAGCATCTTGTAACCTGAGAGGATTTGGGATCAGGGAATCTGGGTCCAGGCTGGTGTCTCTCCTAGTAAGTAGGAAATCATGTTCTGGTTTTGATTCTGGCTTGGGGAACGTCTCTTCCTTATTACTTAGGAAACCAGGAGTTAATAGGCTGGGTCAGATCAGAGCCCCGTCACATCCAGCATCTTAACTTTAGTATCAGCACAGAGAGGGGCCAGAACCTGCTGGCAGGCTGACGTGGGGTCACTCAGTTGGGAAGAAGCTGGCTGAACCCCTGAAGCACAAAAGTTAACACTACCCAGATTTCTCTGTCCTCATTACCACCCAGATTTCTCTTTCCCTGTCAGTTATGCTAATACTGGATCTCCTTGTTATTCACATGGATACCACAACCCTTCCAAAATGTTCTTAAGTCCTTGACCCCAACAGCTTCCCATGGCAACAAGTGTCACAGTTTAATCAAACATTAGGAGAAAAGCATTTCCTCTGACAGGTGTTGAATTTCCAACCTTTTCATTTCATTAAATTCTCCTTTATCCTTATGTTATTGGGTTGGGTTTTTTTCCTGTTAATTGTTAAAACAATGATACCAGTACTCCATTTTACAAGATAATGCTACAGCTAAAGGGCCCCTGGAGCACATTCTGCTATGTGTTGAAGCCCGCCCAGGCGCTTTATTTGTCATCATCATTAACAACAACACACTTAAATGAACAACAATTCCCTGGTCTTCTCAGCAGGGTCATGTTTGTTGTTTGGAGGCTCTGATCTAATAACGAGATTCCAGTCTTACAAACTCCAACAAAATGGGTATGCAGCATTGCAGCATTGAATACGCACTTCTGCTCTGTGGGGTGGTGCAGGGGGCCATGCCACATAAACCACAGGCAATGGCAGAGAATGAGTTAGCACATACACTGTTAGGCCCAATATCTGTAATTACAGCTAAGGGAGGCTCCTCTGCTGGAACTTGCAATTCTGCTGTTCAATCCATGATTTCAGTAGGACTGAGATTGGCAGTGGCATTGCAAGGGAGAGCATTTCCAGGTGCCTTCACTGCTCAGAATTGCCTCAGTGGGCACATCTACATGAGGCACTTACTGCACATTAGTGTAATAGTACTGTGCAGTAGTGTGGTGATTAAAAACTGTGCTATTAGCCTACTGCGCAGTGTTATTAGGCTAATGCTCAGTAAGCATCACAAAATAATCATGCTCTGGTGCTACTGCACAGTAACCCTAGTTACTGTGCATTTAGTTAGTACTTCATTAAGCAAGTAGTGAATTAAATGAGAAGTAACTAAGATGCATTAATAAATGTGTAGACATGTCCAGTGGGAGGAAATGCCCTACCTAAGGTAGAGGAGCCTCACAGAAGTGTCAAATTCACTAAACCAATGAGGGGGCACTGTACTTGTTCCACTGATGGGTTCAACCACAGTTTCTGGAGTGAAATGTAATTCCTTTCCTTGGAGGGCTCAAAACACAGACAACAGACCCAAAGCAATGTGAATATTAAAACCCTCAGCTTTGTGAGTCCTGAATTAATGAGTAAGGCACCTCAGGACATCCTTATTACAACTGCTTTACATTATGGGCATCTATACACGTGCTGCGGCGTGTGGGGGAGGGGAGTTAATTATAATGGCTCTCAGGAGCTGCTCTAATTAAACTGCCTGCAGCATCTCATGTATTCAGCATCCAGTGGTTCAAAGTGGTGGCGGGGACACTTTTACTAAAGCTCATTTGACAAGCTTTAGTTAAAGTGCCCCCACTGATATTTTGAAATGTGGGGACATGGAATACATGTGACGGTGAGGCTGCTAAAGCATTCTAATTAAAACGGTCCAGCAGACTCAATTAATGAAGTCTGCTCCGATGCACTCTAATTAGAAAGCGTGGAGCAGGCATCCCACATGCGTACAGGCACTCTTATAAATAGACACTTGTTCCCAGAGCAAAGGCCTACTGCAACAGCATCTGCTAGAACTCATGCCTTGTCTGGGGCTAACCATCCAGCCAGAATTTAAAAGCATAGGAACATATATCTGGAAGGGGCCACCTGAGCCACTGAGTCCAGTTCCCATACAGCCTTACCTACAGTAGTTCTCCCAAGCTACTTTGGGCTTTGGTTTTGCAAGTTCTCGGATCCTGGCAATATAAGATAAAAATTAAAAGATGAGTTAAACTTGAAGAGATAATTAAAACAAGCAGAGAGCACATATGATTGCATATAGCACCCTAGGGAATCCTCAAGCCTCTCTCTAAAAGGCTTTCATTGTGAGGCCATGATGAAAAAAGAACATTGACATCATTTTTCATGTGATATGTCTGACTAGTCACTGGCTCTGGGCCATGACCCTTCTCAGAATTTGCTTTTAAGTCAGAGGTATCTCCCTACCAGGCCAGCATTTCAGCTGGTTTAATACTCCAGTGAACTCATAAACTAAGTTTTGTGGTACAGTAGCCTTCTCTTTTGGACAAGATTGTGGGGACACAGATGCAGGATTCTGACTCATTGCAGGAACAGTTCAATATAGAAGGTGGAAAGTGGTGACAGCCCTTTTTCTTATTTAAAAAATGTGACATTCAACCTCAAAGACTAGAAGATAAAAGATTCTCCTAGCCAACACAACTAGAAACAAAGTAAGTACTACATATGTGGCAGACTTACTGATACAGGTCCAACGACACTCCGGGGCAGAGCCTATGGAGTGAATAAAAGGAGCTGCATGCCCAGCACAAGGGAGACCCGTCGAGAGACGAAGAGAACAGGCTAAGAAGAGCTAGTGTGAACTGGCCAGAGGGCAGAACCAGTGCCCTGAAGAGTCTGAGATGCCTCTTCACAAGCAGGAGTGGTAAGTGGCTGCGTCCCCAGCTCTGCCACAGGGAACACGGTGTCGGTGCACAGCTTTGTGCATGGAGCTCAGACCCTGGTTGCTGCATGAGGTGACTCAGGTCTGCAACCCCTGGCAACCGGCTGGGACCTCAGTGCACCCAGCAGTGCATGAAGCTCAAGACCCTGGAAGCAGCCTAAGGCGGCTCGGGTCTACAATCCCTGGCAAGTGGCCAGGGAACTTGGTGCGGGCAACGCTGCACAGAGGGTCCAGGAGACTGATTGAGCTCCGGCGCCATATGAGGCGGCCCAAGCCTCCAACCCCCAGCAGGAGGCAGAGCCCTCAGTGCACGTGACAGTGCACAGGGCCACCTGTGGCTGCCAGCCCAAGGGAGCCTGTGGCCTGGGAGGCCATGCATGTGAGGAGCAACTCAGCCAAGGAAACGAGGACCACCTATCCAGGCCCCGGAGTCATGAGTTGTTCGGGAAAGGATTTCCACAGGGGAGGGGAGCTACCCCAGCTGTGAGGCAATTTATCCCCAGGGAAGCTTGAGCTAACTGGTTGTTGAGGTGTCTTATATTTTGTGGGAAAGTGCCTCCTAGTCTGTGACACTGCGCCTTATATTTAGTGGACATTTTAACTTTGTATATTAGTAGTTTGTAGAGTGTTAAAGTTTAAACTCCTTAAGGGACACTGCTGGGAACCTTGATGGTTATATATGTATTTACCTCTGTATATTTGTGCTTTGACTGCTGTTTAATTGTATTTATACATCCTCACCTGCATTTTCCTGTTGTTTGTCTCGTCTAAATCCACTGTTCATCAACACATTGTTTGGGGACTACCTGGAGGGGTGTAATCTTTCAGCCTTTATATGTACGACATAGTATTATATGATAATTGTATATCTGTATATCTATGTGTATGTGTATGTAGATAGATAGATAGATAGATAGATAGATAGATAGATAGATGCTGGAAAGGACCTCGCAGATCATCAGATCCAGCCCCCCTCTCTAGGCAGGAAGACAACCAGGGTCAAGTGACCCCAGCGAGATGACTGTCCAGTCTCCTCTTGAAAACCTCCAGGGTAGGTGACTGCTTCACCTCTGAAGGGAGTTTATTCCACAGTCTGGACACCCTGACTATGAAGGAGTTTTTCCTGGTATTAAGCTTGAAGTAGCCTTCCAGGCACTTGTATCCATTGGTCCTGGTCTTCCCCAGGGGTGCCCTAGTGAACAGTTGTTCATCGAGGTCCTGATGCACTCCTCTGATATAGGGGTAAGCAGCTATCAATTCCCCTCTCAACCTTCTCTCTTTAGGCTAAAGAGACTCAGGTCCCTCAGCCTTTCCTCGTATGGCTTGCCTTGCAAGTCCCTGATCATATGGATGGCTCTTTTCTGGACCCTCTCAAGTTTTTTCAGGTCCTTATTAAAGTGCAGTGCCCAGAACTGGATGCAGTACTCCAGCTGTGGTCTCGCCAGTGCTGTGTACAGTGGGAGTATCACTTCCTTAGTTTTACACAAGATGCATCAGTTGATGCATTCTAGCGTGTTGTTTGCCCTGCTATCCACCGCCTTGCACTAACAGCTCATATTCATGCGATGGTCAATTATTACCCTTAGCTCCCGTTTGGCTGCGGTGCAAGTCAAGCTGTCACCAGTGAGCCTGTATGTATGCTGAGGGTTGCTTACCCACAGATGGAGCATCTTACACTTGTAAGTGTTAAAATTCATCTGGTTCCCATCTGCCCAACTCCTGAGCCTGTGCAGGTCTGCCTGTATCTGCAACCTATCTTCTGATGTGACCACACTGCCCCATAGCTTGGTGTTGTCTGCGAACTTGGCCAGTGAGCTTTTCACTCCCCCACCCAAATCATTGATAAAGATGTTGAAAAGCACTGGTCCAAGCACAGACCCCTGAGGGACACCACTGACCACTTCACGCCAGGACAACACAGATCCTTTCATGAGAACACTCTGGGTCCCAACCTGTAGCCAGTTTCCCACCCACTGAACTGTTGAGCAGCTGAGCCCACAATCTTCCAGTTTTCCCACAAGGATATCGTGGGATACTAGATCAAAAGCCTTTTGGAAGTCTAGGTATATAACGTCTACCTCGTCTCCCATGTCCAGGTGGTGAGAGACCTGCTTGTAGAAGGAGATGAGATTGGTTAAGATGAGACCTACCCACGACAAAGCCATGCTGGCTGTCATTCAGGATCTTACCTTCCATGAGCATGTCGCACATAGATTCTTTAATGAGCTTTTCTGGGATTTTCCCTGGAATAGAGGTTAGGCTGATTGGCCTATAGTTGCCTGGGTCCTCCCTCTTCCCCTTCTTGAAGATGGGCACAATGTTGGCCCTCTTCCAGGCATCAGGGATTTCCCCTGTGCACCATGAATTCTGAAAGAGCTTTGCTGGGGTTCTGCGACGACCTCAGCCAGCTCCTTCAGCACTCTCAGATGGAGTCCATCCAGTCCCGCTGACTTATAAATGTGTATCTTTTCTAGTTGGTATTGCACCTGCAATATACTGCATGTTGTATATATTGTATATATTGCATATAGATATACATTGCATCCCTATATATATCTATATATCCATGTGTGTGTATATATATATGTTTATTAATAGCAATTCTCTTAATTATTGTATATATTAATAAATCTGGACATAGTTAAGTATCTCTTGTCCTGGCCTGACTCTATAGGGAGTAGAGGGTTCTGACCTATATATTGCAGATCCTTCTTGCAGCACTTCTGCCTGCCACCCATCCCTTCTCTCTGGAGAGGGGAGCACAGTACTTGGGTGCACCTGGGTTACACATAGAAGCACATGTGTTACCAACTCAGTTATGAAAAGACTATTCACAAACTGCTGCTTCTGTACAGATTAAGGCACATGTCCTATACTAAGCTGCTTACACTTTAAGGTTGCTTATTATTATTATTATTATTTCTGCTACCACCCACGAGCTAGATGTTTAAGCACAAAAAATTGCCTGCTTCACATACACAAGGAGCATGTATCCTGAAGAAGGTATGCTGCTTATACAGAATATTCATTGATTCAAGAATTCTCAACAGAGTAAGATGTCATTGTCTGCTTCTGTGTATTGAGTGTCTGAGTTAAGAGGACAGGTGCACTTCTGCTGGTGCTTCCCCAGGCTGTAGATACTCAGACTGCATGGCCATTCAGTTGAAGAGATATAAGCTATTGATTTAGCAGTCTGACTGTATCTGCAAGGTCTTAATTTGATTCTATCTCAAATCCTTTGCCAGCAACCTCTCTGTTTACTGAAGCAAATGGAGAAAGAATTGAATAAAATAGACCATGCAGCATAAAATCCATCCTTCTTGTCCCTGAATTCCACATCTCACATGCTAACACTCTTGCTGTCTGTTCCAACCCATCTATGAATAGGAAGGGGAGAGCAGGAGGATTTCCTTTGTCATGCAATATTTTCTTTAGAAATTGTACAGAATATAAATTGTTATAATTCTATGATATATTGTATCAGTATTGCTATATATATTGCATATAATATAAATATGCATGTAATACATCAGTTGTGCAGCCTGCAATGTGTACACTGTAAGATTGACCTCTAAGGTGGGAACACAAACCACCTAGCACCCATTCAGCAAGGATCCTTTTCCTGGGAAGAGCAAGTACAAGGAGCACAAAGTCTTCAATCACAAGACCTCTTAGAATGAACAAGAACATTTAACCTGGAATGGTTTGGGAGCCTTTACAGCAAAACATCTCACAGCCTGATTGGCATCCTTCCTTCCAGCATGGGTGTGTAGACAGATGTGAATCTGAAACAGTTTGCCTTGAAAAAGTCCACGGAGAACAAATCTTTGTTTAAATCAGGAGTAGGCAAAATACAGCTAGCAGTTCAGATTTGGCAATCAATTGATTGTATCCAGCCTGCAGCTGCACCTGAGGTGCTACTGGCCAGGGCAACCCATGCCATGCTCCCACCCACACCTGCCCCACACCCACTGATGGCACTGCCCCAGCCTCAGTTAGTGCGCACAGCTTCCCAGCCAGATACTGCTTGGCTCTCTGCACCTACAGTGGCTCCTTCTCCTGCCCACCATATGCCCAGCCAGGGGGTGGGGGAGAGGGGGAAAGCTGGGCAGCCCCTGCCTGGGGGGGAAGAGTGGATGGGAGGCAGGTGGAACCTGGACCCCTGTATGCTAGGGCAGGAGCTGCCGGTTGCAGCTTTCCCCCCGCCTGGCTGGGTGTGTGATGGCAAAAAGCAGGAGTAGGAGAAGCCACTGGAGGCGGGAGGAGCTGAGCAGTAGCTGGGTGGCTGCAGCAGCAGCACTGTACATGCTGGTCAGGGCCGGGGGCAGAGTCATGTTGTTGGCAGGCGTGGGCCAGAGTACAGTGCCCTGGGTGGGAGTGGGCAGGGCTCAGCCCCATGTGGAGCACTGCAGGGGCAACCATGGGTCAGATGGGGGGTGGGGGCTGAACACACCATCCAGGCAACCTTGCTCCTGAGTCTTGCTAGCTTCCCCTGTTTCCTAGTGCCCCTGTCTCCTGTCATCTTTGACAGGCAGCCAGAAGCAGATAAATATTAATTTTCTAAATTTTTTAGGGGCAGCGCAGGCCAGATAGAATGGCCTGGCTGGCCTGATCTGGCCTGTGGGCTGTATTTTGCCCACCCCTGGTCTAAAGTAAGGGACATCATCAGGCAATGGAGAGACAAACAGGACCATATCTACACAGAAGAGGTTTGCTAGGAGTGAATATAAAGACACTTTGAGGAGAGCCTGTGATGACTTTAGTATAATGGTTTCTCTTAAGAGCAAAAGGCCCAGTTTGAAGGTGTTGAAAACCTCGCACAAAGTGCTAAATGCTGTCAGCTCTTGCTGAGAAGTAATTTTCCCCCAGATATTTTTAACTTTGGCTTTCACGATATACTCTTTCTTATTTAACCTTATGAAACCTCAAAAGGCTCAGGCCTACAATCCATTCTCTGACAAACCATTCATGAAGGCATAGGCTCTGTGTTTTGTCCCATAATGACTATTTACATTTCCAGATGACTGCACAGGGTTTTGTTTCCTTACCTGTAACTTGAATATGAACAGCGCAAAGAAACTGTAAAGAAGACAAAAACTTAAAGTGGGTTTTAAAATCCCAAAACGATTTGCAGTCTATGCTGTCATTTAGCTGCAGAAGCAGAAAATGGGCCTTTATTCATTCTATATATAACAATTGGTAAGGGAAGATGAGTTTGTCCAGCTATTTAAGCTATAGTCATCTCCTGTAGCTCTATATATCTTCCTAGTCATTAATAAATTCTTAATGAAACTATACTGAAAGCACAATATACACATTTTCCCTCAAAATATAGCATTACAATTCTCTCTGTATAGCAGTTGTAACAAAAAGAGCAGTTGTAACAAAAAGGGCAGAGGTATTTCTCTAAACTCTTTGCACACTGGTGGGAAATCTTCATTAGATGTTCTATACAGGTTCCTGCTTGGTTGAGTCTATTATCTCCTTTAACTGCAACTTCAAAGAGCTTTAGGTTAATGGCAGTTACATAAACTGTGCTGTATGAAGTAGAAAATGAGTTGCATTTTAGGAACAGTGCAGCTTGAGAAACAGGAATATTCTAAGTGAAGTGATACGTGTTATAAAGGTAAATGATGTCATACTTGTCCAATTAGTGGAGGATAATGTTCTTTGATGATGGTGGCAAGAAAAAACAATCCACAGATGTGAGATTTTATCATTCCTGCTTTTAGTTATACTGTTCTTTCAAGGCCACCATTTGAGTCTTTACAACTGAAGCTGCATCACTTGTTCCACATTCCTTTAATCCATTTTTTTTTCTAAGGACTCATACCAATTTCCTTTAAATATGCATTCCAGACAACAGGGTATGTGAGAAGGGCCAGTGGAAAACTGAAAAGCAGGAAAAAGAGCATGTCAAGGCAATGTGCAAGATCCCCAGGGAAGGGCGGTGCCAAGATTCACTTTTGCAAGGTGTAGAGCCACCCTTTAATATATCTTGTTTAATTAATGTATACAAGCATCAGAACTTCCATGCCTCTGGCTTGCTAGAAGTGTGGTGCTCCTTTGAACAAAGACAATGGAAAAAGCCTGGTATTGTGCTTCAAATTGTTCCACGTCAGGCATGCTCAGTTGATAGGTAAAATGCATGAGGGTTAGCTTCTCCATCTGCTCTGCAAAGTCAATGGCTGCCAGTTCAAAATGGCTAGCAGAGAACATTCCCCACCTCAGGTACTGGCCCTCATTGAGGAGGTGCAAGGGAGAGCCAGCCCCTACCTGCTTTAGCTCTTGCAGGGACTGGCAAGCACTCGCTTAGGAAATTATCGTAGCCCTGTCCCTTTCTTGCTCTCAGTCCAAGTTTTTGTGTGGCAGACAGCCCAGCCCACGGCCAGCCAGGCCAGTTGCTTTCTTACTCCACAGGATCCCTAGTCACATCCTAACCAGATGCTGAAGCAAGGAGCCCTTTCAGCCTGATAATCAAACCAGTACTAGCCCTACACTGGGCCTGCCCCTGAATGGGAAAGGGAAGCTTGTTGGCAATGTGTGAGGAGGGGAGGGGAGGGGAGGGGAGGGTGGAACAAGGGACAAGGTCCCATGGTGGTGACTAGGGGGAGGGGCTGGGGTGTCTAGTGACTCTGAGTGGGGCAGCAAGTGTCCATGGCAGGGGGTTAGGTATCTGTGAATATGGAGCATGAAAGAGGGGCTCCTCAGCTCCCACATAGAGGGGTTAATAGAAGAGATACCCATCTTCAGCTGGACTAAAGGGGTTTCTGGGATCACGACTCAGTTTCCCATTCCCTGAAAAGGAAGCTGCTTTAGGAGCTACTCTCTGGCTCCAACCAGCAGTGAGCCATGGCCCCAGAAGCAAAATAGGAGTCATCTCCTTTAGTGTCATTTTGAGCTCAGTGAGTTCCCACACTTTGTTCAGGCAAGCAACTAAGACTGGCTTCCCTGAGCCTTGGCTCCCAAGCTCTCCAGACTCATAAGGTCCATCAGAGAACAGGCAGCTATGGATACTGGGAAATCTGCAAATGTCCACAATGCTATCCACATTCTTCCCAACACCTCAGCCCCTCAGAGAGATCCCAGAACAGGGTTCCCCCCTGCTCTTTCTCAGCAGCAAGTCTACCAACTTCAGTGGATATCCTTTAGTCTGCAAGAGGCCCATCATATCCAAAGCAGCCTGCATTGCATCTTGTTTTGCATCCTGAGGGGTCATTTGCACTTGTATAACTTGAGTCAAAGCACCCTGAGGCAAGAGCAATTCTTCCCCACCTGCCCAATCCATTGACCTGCAACCCCACTACAACCTTCAACTCGGCCCTAGTTACCAGCCAACCTGACACTGGATTCTCATAAGGAACCAATATCTCAGCATGTTTTATATTCATACTGTATACAAAGTCATTTGCTTTATATTTATAGCTATTTAAGGGTGGGAGCTGTCTATCATGTAAACAAATATATTCTGGGATCTTTTGCAAGAAAGATTTTTTTTTGAGAAATAAAAAATACTTCCATGTAATTAACTTCTTGCTCCTCTGGATAGAAGCCAGCCATAGAAACATCAGGAGGAAAGTGAAGGTTCTGAGAAAAAGTTAGTCCCCTGAATGTGTGTGTGTGCAGTCCACATACATACACCCAAATCTGGCTTCCAAACCTTAACTAGGCGATAGCCTCAGATTGTACTATTTGTGGAAAATGAGTGCCACCTGCTGGGCCAGGAGCAGCAGCACAATTCATTATTTTCATGTTAGGCTTTGTCAAGAAATGACCAATGTAATAGGGAAGTAGGACACGTTGCTGTCCCACTAGTCCCACATGACAGAGCCATGCTGTTTAAACTAATTTAGCTCCACTCATATCTAGTCAGTGCCAGGCTGCTGAGGTTAAGAATGTCTCAGGTGAAAGAGAGGAGAGCAAGGAAGGAGAGAGAGGCAGAAATGGGAACAGAAGGCAGGGGGCAGTGGAGGGAAGATGAGGATGAAGTGGAAAGCCAGCTCAGGCACTGAGCAGAGACCAGAAAGAGGGATGGATGCTTCACTGCCAAGGCAGGAAAATAGTAGGGAAATGGCAAGGCTGAGGCTTTTACTTATTAACCCTTCCTCTCTCTCATAAGCAGGACGCAGTCCAAAAACACCCTGTTTACTTTAGCTTGGCTCCAACAAGGCTTCTTAGCACATGCCCTCAATGAAAATCAGGCACATGCTTGAAGTTTGGTCTGGACAGAAGCACTTTGCTCAATCAGAGCCTTAAAGGACCAGTAGTTCATAGGTATGTGTTTCAGCTACCAGCACTCTTTTGCATGCAGGGAGATTCAAGCACTAAGGAAAAGTTTAATCACAGCCCAGGTCAGACTACAAAGTGCTTGAACATTTAGGTCTTACTAACAACTGCAAGTTCAGCAAGCAGACCATAGATTCATAGATGCTAGGGATCTCAACAGATCATCGAGTCCAACCCCCTGCCCTGGGCAGGAAAGAGTGCTTGAGTCAGATGACCCCAGCCAGATGCCTATCCAGCCTTCTCTTAAAGACCCCCAAGGTAGAGGAGAGCACCACCTCCCTTGGAAGCCCATTCCAAAGTTTGGCCACCCTTACCCTGAAGATGTTTTGCCTGATACCTAGCCTAAATCTGCTCTCTGTCAGTTTGTGAATATTGTTCCCCATGAGGCTCCCTGATAAACAGAGCATATCCAGTCTCTTGCTGTGTCCCCCTAATGAAAAGCAACAACTACCACCTGCGTAAGGACTTGAACCATAGACCCTCAGATTAAAAGTCTGATATGCTACCAACTGAGCTATCCAGGCTCATAAGTAGAGGTTACCGGCTTACATTTGTGACATTCAAACCTGTGTTGTCCAAGCATTTACTACTAAGCAAGAATATAAATAAAGCAAGAAACAATGAGCGCACACACTGCAGAGTGAAGTAGGTCCCAAAGAGGTGACACAATTTCACAAAAACCTGCAGGACCAGTTAGGCACATAGGTCTCCCCACAAGCTGGCCCTGCCTCTTGCCAAAGTCTGTTTGTCATTACTTCCATCAGGCCATGTCCTATTACTCCTGGCAGTAGGGAGCCTATGCCACTTTGACCAAGAGACCCCTGAAATCCAGAACACAGGATCCTGCTCCAGAGCCTCTACACTAGTAATGATTAATCCTGGGCCCATGGGCTGGATCGGGTCTATGGAGCTGTCACTGGGCACATGGGTCTGAAAATGTGGTGCTGGGGGAGCATTAATTGCAGCTCCCCTGCTGCCAAATTTCTGGACCCCTGGGAAACCCCCTGGGCTAGACAGCATGGCCCTCTGCAGCAGATAGGGTGCATGGGACCCAGCCAAGGCAGAGTGCAATCACCCCCACAAGGGATCCAGGCTGCAGACCAGCCTTTGCCTCTCATCTGACCTGCAGGGCCAAAAGGTTGAGTGGCACTGCTTTACCACACTGTTACAGGAACAAGAATGCCATCCCCAACCTCAGCTAAACCAGTCCCCCCAGGATGCTATATTGCTGTGGCTATATTAGGCTGGTTAGGAACCTCTGGCCCACATTTGCAGATGCTGCTTCCTTTCTACTGCCTCCAGAAGATGATAAGATCCCTTCCACCCTGAGCAACCTCCACCAACTGGCAAGAGTGAGCAAGAGCCCCTGATTGAGGAGGAAGGGGCCTCAGAGCAGGTCCCAGAGATCAATCCTTGTCCTTCCCCAGAAAAGCCATTGCTTGTACACTGGATCATTCAGAGGCCTTCCCAGAGCTGCTGTCTGGAGAGAGACCCTGGGATGTGAAACCCCTATCAGACAGCCCCACAGTTTGCCATACATTGCAAACTGCCCACACAAGAATAGCTGCTCCCCTCCAGTAAGGACATCCTGGACCCACCTGAACACTATGCAGACCCCCACAGCTCTCCCTCTGACTGCTAAGAAAGCTACATAGTGCCAGGTGCTACACAGTCACAGCTACATAGTGCCAGGCTCTGGGCCCTATTCACCAGGTCTAACTACCTGAGTTGGGACAGACTGTCCCTATTTATTTCCAAGCTCCCAGCTCATGTAGGAGATACCCTGCATATGG